AAGAAGATAGCTATCTTCTCTTCAAAAAAATTGTAAATCTAAAGGCTTTAAAAAATTTCTTCAAATCTTGTGTTTTGATGATGCAAGTGCAAGAAAAACCAGAAGAAACAATAAGCTAGGATATAGTAGTGATGTATTTGAAATCTGCAATCACTGTTTACAAGATGGGTATGTTTCAGGCTCATGCATCACAGGTAATGAGCAGGTCTAGTTGCATTTATTTATTTATTTATTGATTGATTGATTGTATATTTTTATTGATTTCAGAAAGAAAGGGAGAGGGAGAGATAGATAAAAACATTAATGATGAGAGAGAATCATTGATCAGCTGCCTCCTGCACGCCCCCTACTGGGGATCGAGCCCACAACCTGGGCATGTGCGCTTGATTGGAATCGAACCCTGGACCCTTCATTCCAGGCCGCAGGCCGACACTCTATCCACTGAGCCAAACCAGCCAGTTTAGAAGGCACTTAGAAGGCACTGCCCAGTTTGAATATACCTTCAAACCAGGAAAATACAGAATTAAAATTGGGGTTTGCTAAGTTTAGATATTTATTTAAATTTCCAATAAAATTGTTTTTCATTATTCCTTTACTCTTTTATCATCATAACAGTTTTACTGAATATCACTTTAATCTATGTAAATTATTCCTGAAATAACATAAAGATATAAATATTTTAAAGGGCCCATTGGACTTAGATGGTAAATAGTGAAGACTTTTTTCTGGTATACTGAAAGTTAAGAGGTTTTGATCTGAGGAAGAGTAGAGAAAGCCTGGGAATTTTCTTGAGCTCCTGAGAAAGGAGAGTCAGACTAAGAATTGGAGATAGGGCAGAATCTCAAAAAACAAACTTCTCTTGTATTCTAACCTAAATTATAGCCAGCCCTGGACCCAGGTACTTGAGATCCATCTGTATTGTGAGGATGTTTGTTAAACATTTACCAACAGGCAACTGATTATAATTGTTTGCTTTCAATTACACCACCTTGTGTAGATTCTGGCACAAAATGATTGTTCCCTAAATATTTATGAATAAGCATGAAAACCTAAACAATATAAAATATTATCATCATTAACATTTTTAGGTATTTGAGATTGACTGAAAACATAAGTCTGATGTAAGCCCCACCCCCTTCCAAAAAAAGTTCTTTTTAAAAGCAAATACTCCTAAGGTCAGTTCTTCCTCAAACTGGCATTTTTCAAAATGCCAAAGAATATTTTAAAAAGTGAGAGAGAAAAATAATAAATAAATAAATAAATAAATAAATAGTGAGGGAGAGTTCTATGGTCAAATAAACTCAGGAAACACCAGTTAAATTATGTGAAATAGATCTCTTGTCAGGGATTTTAATACATTAATATTCATTGTGGATCTTTAAGAGTGGGCTCTTAGTACATTTCCCAAAGATATCTGTCCTTGGAACTTTTTTTCTAGGACTATCTGGGGGCAAGTATTCTAAACTCCCTATGACTTTATCTTCATTCATTAATTACCTTAAGTACTAGTTAATGTGTAACAGCCAGTAATTTCCTTCCTACTTCTGAACCCACAGATGTTTCTAAACTGGAGATTCCAGTAATACACAGTCAGTTGAAGCATGATAATGTACATTTCTTAAAATTTTATGTGGTCACCACCAGATAGAGTTTTCACCTCTACTTTTTGTGTTGTTATTGGCTTAATTCGTTCTCTAGTATAAATGAAGCTCCTGCATTACATATATATATAAAAGACAGAGATGCTAATTGACCATACCTTCGCTATGCCCTAAGCCAGGCCCACCAGCCAATCAGAGTGACTATATGCAAATTAACCCAACCAAGATGGCGGCTGGTAGCCACAGAGCTGGAGCAAGCAGGAGGCTTGGTTGCCCGGGTGATGGAGGAAGCCAAGCTTCCTGCCTGCTCTGAGCCGGCTGTGGCCTCCACTCATGGCAACAAAGTTTCAATTATAGAAGACAAATAAATCCCAGATACCTGCTTCCAGCCAGCCACCACTGGGAGCTTGGGTGGCTGGGGGCTGTGGCCAGCCTGCAAACAGCCATCAGCCCCTCACCCAGGCTGGCCACACCCTCATGGGGTGAGGGTCCCCGCTAGGGGGTTTAGCCAGCCTAAAAATGGTCCTCAGCCCCTCACCCAGACTGGCCAGGCACCCCAGCAGGACCCCCCACCCTGAAGGGGCTATGGCCAGCCTGCAAACAGCCATCAGCCCCTCACCCAGGCTGGCCAAGCACTCCTATATAATAAAAGGGTAATATGCAAATTGACCCTAACAGCAGAACGACTGGGAATGACTGGTCACACTGGGAATGACTGACACACACTCACCACCAGGGGGCAGATGCTCAATGCAGGAGCTGCCCCCTGGTGGTCAGTGCGCTCCCACAGGGGGAGCTCTGCTCAGCCACAAGCCAGGCTGATAGCTGCCAGTACAGCGGTGGTGGTGGGAGCCTCTCCTGCCTCCTCAGCAGTGCTAAGTATGTCCGACTGCAGCTTAGGCCTGCTCCCCGCTGGCAAGTGGACATCCCCCGAGGGCTCCCAGGCTGCCAGAGGGATGTCTGATTGCCAGCTTAGGCCCAAT